CTGCTTTGTTCACCGCGGAGAATTGAACCCCATATTTTAGCGTTATAAGCCTGTAAACTTATCGTTCTCCCATACCGATGGACACCTTTCCAAGGAGCTACTACACTCGAATCAAAATGTAATATATTAACAATCCTAAACTAAAATAACAATTATCAAAAACCTTATGACAGATGAAAAGAATTAGTTGATAAATAGTCAACATTTATTACGTTTATATTGTGCAAATATTTTCTGTTTCAAGTTAAATACGAAATTATAGAAATAACGAAGCTGACGTTGATTACTATTTTATAAAGTGAAATATTACAGTTAATTTTGTAAAGCTTAATTGTCTTAAATAACTGATGCAAAATGTCACCAATTTCGTTTATCTTAACATTATAGTGCTATAAACTATATTCATATTGTAATTTGTTTAACTTTGATGTTAGCTACAGAGCGCATGACGTTAAGATCAAGCAAGTCCTAAAAATATCTATACAACTAGTGTATAATTCAAATACGACGTGCCATTAAGCATTTAGAGGCTAGTTAGAGAGACTTGCTTCAACGGTGTTTTAAAAGGAGAGCTAGTTGAAGAACAGTCAAGAATATAGATTGTAGTTTTTCAAGATAGTGAGTTGAATCAGTCAGTGTGTTTTAGAGAAATAACTTTATTCTGTACTTGCTATCGAGCGTATTGAGTAATGTAGTACGAATAAGCTAATTCGTTTTACGTTAATTAATGCCATTTGTAACGTGGGCCTACAACCAGTTACCATCAGTGTACAAGTGTACAAACTTGTAGAAACTTAAAGAAGGATTGAACGTGGATTGAACGTTGAATTATTTTCAGCAAATGATATCAAAGAACCCGCCAACTAAAGAAAGACGTGGCAAAACTTTGGTGTCAAAAACAAGATATTTTGGTAACAATTAAAGAGGACTTTGAATATATTTGAAATAGAACTTCAATTACTAAGATGGTGTCCATGAGGTCAAGTAGTGAGATTCAAGTGTTACTTGAGATGATGTACAAGATAAGGAGGAAAAAACAGAAGATTTAAAGAAGACCAAGAAGAACATGGTTGGAAATTAAAAGAACACCTGGAAGAACACACAAAAGTACAAGAGGGAGACAGAAAATTAAAAAAATATCAAGAATAATGGAAGAGATAATTAGAAGAAAGAGATAGAAAATTAAGATCACATATAAGCTTGATTGAAGACTAGATCAATGAATTTTAGAGGATTACCACATATGCAAGAGACCTTAATTGGTCAACACCTCCTGCTGTGCCACCTGTTACTGAAGGACTTTCCAGAACTACTCCAGCCATGATACTACTAAATCCACATCAAGAATTTAGCTGACCAGTTCAACATCAGCTAAAGAAGAAACCAATGAACTATGATGGGAAGGCACGATGGGAGCCGTACTAGGCTCAGTTTGAAATTATTTCCAGAATGAACATGTGGAATAGTAAACAGCAAGTCATCCATCTTGCTGTCCACTTAAAAGAACCAGCTTTGATAACATTACACAGCCATAACAACTAACAAGCATTGGTAGCCACTTTATTCACAGAAATAAGTACCTAGATAAAATTTCTAGAATAGAATATGGAGGAAAAAAGAACTCTTACTTTAACTAGTAGAAGATTTGAAAAATACTTATCTTACCCAGATGTTCCTCATGAAATGGTGGATTCGTTGGCACGTGGTTAATTTATAGACACTATAACAGACGAGGATGTGAGAATTAGGCTGAAGCAAAGTAAAAGAACAGATAATCTCATGAAGGCACCATCTAGAAGTTACGAGGATATCAGAATCTACAGTATCAAAACATTAGCTCCTTCTAAAAATAGTATAAATAATTGAAATAAATAATCAGACAGCTAGTTAAATAGAATAGAGGAAATAAATCAAAAAAATGATAGATGTTTCAAGTGTAGCTTGAAGAGACATATTGCCAGGAACTCCATACAAATGTCTGTGTGGAGTAAGAGCTCTCGAAAGATACCAGTAGAACGTACCTGTTTTAACTGTGGAAAACCTGGATATTACAACCGACACTGTAAAGAATTAACACCTATTATCAGGTGAAGGAGACAGAACCCAACCAGATCAAAAGAACAACAGGAATTAGTTGGATTTATACGGCCATGTTCAGCTAGAATTACTTCATTTACCATGAATGAGAAAATAATTTCATTATTTGAGGAAAATCTTCCACGAGTCAACGTACTTTTAAGATGCAAAATCTTGGTATATGCTGCTTAAAACTGGTTCCACAGTTAAATTATTTTGTCCCGATTTGTTAATGATAGATGAGAAATTGTTCCAAAGATAATAAGAGAGAAATATTTGACTTGAACAGCAGGTGGACGTAAAGTTCCACCAAAAGAGAAGCTGGAAGTTACCCTTACTAAAGGAGCTTCTCTCTGCCTCATTATGTGTCTGTAATTAACTTCGATAAATAGTGCATTTTGGGAACTGACTTCGTGTCGAGACATGGATGAGAGGTGAGGCAAGCTTCGTAGTCTATGACCAGGAAATCCCTCTAGACTAGATTGTAATTACTATGCCTGAGCTTTATAGTCAATGACCAGAAAATACCTTTGGACTACATAGTAATTGCTGTGCCTGAGGCTGAGATCAAACAAGGATGGTGGTCATTGTACCAACAAGAAGTGGGATACTCAAATCAGGAGTTAATAGCAATAATTTTTCATCATTTGAGTGGGGTATAGAGGAAACAGATATTCCAGCATGTCATGGGGACTGGTGGTTGAAAGAGATGAAAAATAAAGATGTTGTACATGACTTTACCCTGGAAAGGCTTAAATCAGCCTGTGATAAAGTGAATGGTAGCTGCAGTAAGTGCCAATAAACTGGATTTCGTCGAGGGAAGATGGTATGCCTAAGCAGGTCTTGACGCAAGAAAGGACAATTTCCAAAGTTAAGTACGTTTTTGGAAGAGAGACGATCCAAGTCAAAGGTCATCCCCCATGATCATTAATAGAAATACGTCAGTGAGTGAATGGCCAACTGGGTAAATCCAGAGAAAAAACTTTTCAGTGAAACCTCAACCTGCAAAAAAGCCCGGAGTTTATTTCAAGACTTCTTCTAGAGGATCTTCAAAATTGGAGCCACCATTAGATTCACTTGAGCCCCTATCCAGGGAGCCCTTCCCCCAGCGACAGGGTGGCCAATGAAAGCAAAGGATAAGATGTCATTCAATCGGTATATCATGGGCTTCAGAAGAGAAAACCACCGAAAAGACTTGGTGAACGGACAGTTTACTGTGGAGTTTTATTTATCTACTTTATATTAGGGTTGTTTAGGGGATTTCGTAATCCAGGAAAGGGGCAATGTTATAAGTTACATTCACAATGTTGTAATTTGTATAATTTAGATGTTAGCTAGAGGGCATATGGTGTTAAGATCAAGAAAACACTAGCGTAGTATATAAATACGACATTCCTTGATACAGGGAGAAAGAGGATTGTTTGAAGAGCATTTCAAATGTAGAGTTAGAGAAAAGATAGTCAAGAATGAAGAGTTTTCAAGATAGGGAGTTGATTCAGTCAGTGTGTTTTCGAAAAGACTTTGGATTTGTGTTTCCTATCACACGTATTGAGTTACATAGTACAACACTACAAGTAAGTTGATTTATTTTACGTTAATAAACGTCATTTTAACGTAGGTCTACAAGATGTTACGGCATTGTACAAGTGTTCAAACTTGTAGAAACGTTAAAGTAAGAAATAAAGTAATTTCTTCTCGTCACGTGGACTGAACGTAGTATTATTTTTACCAGATTCCAAAAAAAAAAAAGATTGTTTTGTTTGTTTGTACACGAGGGCTATCTGTGCCAATCGTCCCCATCTACCGCCAACTTTTGGGCTACTATTTTACCAACGAATAGTGGATTGACCGTCACATTATAACTCCCCCACGGCTGAAAGAGCGAGCATGTTTGATGTGACGGGGATTCGAACCCGCAGATTGCGAGTCGAGCGCCCTAACCATCTGGCCATGCCAGGCCTTCGTATAATGAAACCTACAAACACAAGAACGAAGTTACAATAGAATGCCCCCCCCCCTAGTGGCACAACGGTATGTCTGGGGACTTAAAACGCTAGAAACCGGGTTTCGATACTCGTAGTGGAAAGAGCACAGATAACCCTTTGTGTAGTTCTGTGCTTAACTACAAGCAAAAAAACATACAATAAAAATGTATTGGGTACGATTTTAAACTTTTTATTACATTAAAAAAATTAACGTGTTTCAGTTAAGATGAAGTTTTCTTGTATAATGAACATTAAATTCTAGAAAATGTGTAAGTAAGATGGATAAATTTAATATCAACATAAAGTGAAAATGTGCTGTTATTTGGGTAACTTAGTTTGTTGGCTCTAGCACACACACCATCTTCTTTTCAGTAACAATTTCTGATGGTTTGAATAATAACAGTGTCTTTGCCCAAATAGTATTGTACTTTTGTATTATAAGATGTCTCAAGATTTAATGTTTCTTTGTTCATAATATATATAAAACAACGATATTCAGATGAATAATTAAGTTAAAGTACATGTGTTTTGATTACTCGAGGTACACATGTAATATAATTCTACATTCGAATATCTGATAAACAAAATAAAAAGCCCCAGCATTTATAAATTACAATTCATATAACTTAAGAATATAAGATATAGTTTTGTGTTTGAAAACTGATATTTTTTTCAATTGTTACTCACGTAACTTAAGAATATAGATATAGTTTTATATTACAAAATTTAAGAAGTCTGTGTGCTTATATTATTACTCGCATCATGTACCCTTTTTATAAAAGACGAATTACAGGTGAACTTAAAAGTACTGAGAGAAACTGCAGTGGAGAAAATTTAAATATCAAACCTCTAACACAAACTATTTTCCGGTAAATTATTCGGTCAGATGCATATAGAATTATCTGAGCATTAGAATACCACAATATTTCATATAAAATCTAAAATTTTACTGCATAAAGCCACCTTTTTTATTCCGTACGCAGGTGAAATCATTAGACGATCATAAGAGCTGTGGCGTTTCCCTGGTTACAGCCTCTAGTACCATCTTACTTACTCAGCTTACACTTCTACAATATGTATTAAACTGACATGCGTAGTAGCAAAGGTTGCTTAAGTACCTTAACTATGCCATACTAGCGATGTTTTTTTATGAAATAAATGGTGACATTTGTAAAGAGAGATATATAAACTTTAGATATTGATCGTCCATTATGATGTGTTATCCAAATTATACATGGAAAAGAACAATTAGATTTCCACAAGAAACTGTAAACCAGAAAATAAAACGCGAAAACAAATACTATGGAATCATAAAGCTATCACAATTTAGTCTTAATTATCTCTCTTACACTTCTGTCATTACGAAATCAATTGAAATATTTTTAATATCTAAGCTGAACAATTAAGACTGGTAAGAGATATAACCTACCTTTATGAAACTAAACATACCTATTTCAAGTAGAATGGTTTTAGTAATCGACTCATTTTTCAGAAAACGTAGCTTAATGATAAAACAAAACACAAACATAATATGAAATATTATAACCAACAAATCAGTACACATATGTAATTCACTGCACGTCATTCTATAGCAAATCACTTTTGCCCACCGAAACCGGTCATCCTGATAAATGATTTTGTGTGTGAAAGTCATTGAACTCTATTCTGGGTTCACTGACAACTAAAAACACAAGGTCTTCTACAACACGTAGAATTCTCGCTTCTTGAACCTCCTCTCACTTCGTTTTGAAATCTAGTTTGATTTGTATGCATATTTATATGCATCTTGTACTGTTAATGTCATACCATAAATACATATTAATTGAACTAGAACCATTTACCTAGCAGTTGTTCTTACTTCATAAGTTTATATGTACTTGTTGACTTCTTTTAGTTTATTTGTTTCATAACATGTGTTAACTTGTTGACTTCGTTAACTTTGTTTGTTTCACAATATGTGTTAACTTGTTGACTTCTTTTAGTTTCTTTGTTTCACAGTATGTGTTAACTAGTTGGCTTCTTTTAGTTTGTTTGTTTCACAATATGTGTTAACTTGTTGACTTCTTTTAGTTTGTTTGTTTCACAACATGTGTTAACTTGTTGACTTCGTTTACTTTGTTTGTTTCACAATATATGTTAATTTGTTGACTTTTTTAGTTTGTTTGTTTCACAATATGTGTTAACTAGTTGGCTTCTTTTAGTTTGTTTGTTTCACAATATGTGTTAACTTGTTGTCTTCTTTTAGTTTGTTTGTTTGTTTCACAACATGTGTTAACTTGTTGACTTCGTTTACTTTGTTTGTTTCACAATATATGTTAATTTGTTGACTTCTTTTAGTTTGTTTGTTTCACAGTATGTGTTAACTAGTTGTCTCCTTTTAATTTGTTTGTTTCACAATATGTGTTAACTTGTTGACTTCTTTTAGTTTGTTTGTTTCACAATATCACGAAAAACCTACACTTATCTGACTGTGTTTCTTATAGAAAATACTTTAATTCTAACCCCCAGTGGCACAGCGGTATGTCTGCGGACTTAGAACGCTGGAATCCGGATTTCGATACCCATGTTGCGCAGAGCACAGATAGCCCATTGTGTAGCTTTGTGTTTAATTATTAACAAACAAACAAAACTGAATTCTAGGATTCACAATCCAGTGACGCTAATCATCAGGCGACGCTCGTCTCCACTAACAATTAGCGAAATCAATTTGGTTTTCGTCATTTTAATATTTGTGTATGTTAGCCTATCTGTCTTAGATTGTACTGTGCTGTTGATCGAAGGATCTGCCCATTATGGGCCAGAAATTCCAACTTAAGAAAATAATTATACATTTTAGCTTCAAGTATCCATCTTTATCAATCTATTTGATATGATTTACTATTTATATTCAATCTACTAATCAGCACAATTGTGTTTCTATTCGATTTCATTGGAAATTGATAATGGTAAGTGTACGGATTTACAACGCTAAGATCAGAGCTCGATTCCCCTCGGTGGACACAGCAAATAGCAACCAAACTAAAAAAACTCTAATATCTGAAATTTAATCTTATTTTTTAGAAATGTTTCAAGTGTTCGAAAACATATTTCATCAACGCCGTGAATTTTCTGTAAAAATCGTCTGATTTATGGATAAAAATGTCGTAATTTCAGATTTAATTAGATATTGATGAACAGCCGTTATTAAATGGCCTATGATTATTTGAATATCGTTATATTTTACTCTTCCATAATTAATAGAGTATATATTTTTTTATTGAGATTTTATCTCTAAATTTGAGTCCAGCTCTTCTGCATCTTTCTAGTAAAACGTATTTACATAAGTCCCAAACTTGCCTTTATCCTCACAGAAAGATTGTGTACTATAATGGTTATTCCATACAAGCTTGTAACTACTTTGTCATGTTTCTGTTTCTGCTTGCTGAAGTAGGGTTAAGCTCTTTTTAGGGGTGATAAAAAACTTAACAAGCTGAGTTATTTCTCTTGAATATGATTACTTAGAACAATAGTTAACATAAATAATCTAAGGGTGGAGGGATACCGCCAAGTATCTGGACCTCTTTTTTTTCATTCTGTCTTTGTCATGTGTGGGTAAATTGTAAGCCTGCTCTTTGCTCCAGCAACCGAATTGAAATCGACCAGTAAATGAAAGACTTACAGGTAGATTCTTTACTTCTGTAAACAAGCAATTTTCTTTTATTTTTATACTTGGTCTATTTGTCTTTCTTTTATTACCGTGCTCGATACTAATCTTTATATAACATTATAGAACCTTCGTTTTGTGGATACTTATTACATATAGA